CAACAACAAAAAAGGAAGTTGGGATGAGGAGTGGATGGCCTGTGATGATGTCTCCTTGCTTAGGACAGTTATGGAGCACCCACCTTAGGTGGCTCACAGCAGCCACTCCAGTCCCAGAGCGACCTCTTGAGGGGCAGGAGAGTTGGCTTAGCAGTTAAGAGCACTTGTTGCTCTTGCAGAGGACCCAGGTTCGATTCCCAGCACCCACCTGGCAGCTCACAACCTTCTGTATCTAGTCTTGGGATCCATATCTTCTCTGGATCCACAGGCACCAGGCACCCACATATATGCAGGCAGAACAATGATGTGCATAAAACAATAAATCTGGAAATAAAGTAGAAGTATTATTTCACTCAGAGAGGCCCAGTGTCTCTCTTGGTATATATCTAAACTCGTACTTTATTTGCCCTTAAAACTTTTTGGTGGTTTAAAAAAAATCTTTTTAAGAACAATGGAGTTCTAGTCTCAAGGACTTTATTAAGTGTATATGTATTTATGTCCCTTTCCGTCTGTGTTGCTGTACTGTGTGTGACATTTGTGTGTTCATTTGCTCACTGCTGTTGTACAGCACACTGCACCTTATACACCCATTTCAGCATTTCATGTCCTAGTCATATGTTTCCCTGAGTTTCTCTTGATTCTTGGAATTTATTGTGAACCTCCATTCCAGCCTTCACAGCTTTAGTTTTAAACACTGACACGTGTCATTTTGTGCCCCATGCTGGCCTGGGCGTCGTGGCATTATTACTGCCTCATACTCCTGAATCTGGTTCTGAGATGGCAGATGTGGGCTGCCGTGCCTGGCTGTGTGCTACCTTAGAAATAGTTTTTCATTTTCTAATGGTTTTGAGAATTTGTTCCCATCTGTCTATAGTTGTTTCTTGTTTTTTGTTTTTTTGTTTCTCAACTCACTGTCTTTGTGTGGAATAATATCGCCATAGTTTTAAATTGAAAACGTTCTATTTATTTGTTATTTATTTTAACACAGGATCTCACTAAGTAGACCAGGCTGTCCTTGAACTTATAGAGATCCACCTACCTCTGCTTCCTGAGTGCTGGGACTAAATGTGTACGCCACTACGCCCAGCACTTGTGTGTAATTTTTTTTTAAAGAGTTTCAGTTTTTATTTTTTGATACATCCATGCCTATTCAGACTATTGTCTGTCTTTGTGTGTCTCTTGATATATTCCCTCTTTTTGTGTTTTTGTTTTTCAAACCAGGGATTCTTCTTGTAGTCCTTGCTGTCCTGGAACTCATGTAGACCAGGCTGCCTCTACCTCCCAAGTGCTTAAGTCATAACCTTGTAAAACAGCACCACCAGCTGGTGGAGAAATGTCCAAACACACGAGCCTATTGGGGGATGGGGGATGTCTCACATATAAAGGACAAATGTTGCAATCCCATGGTCAAAAATTTAGTAACTTAGGTGAAATGAAATTTTTAGAAATTAAAAATAGGCTGGGCAGTGGTGGCGTTTGTCTTTAATCCCAGTACTCAGGAGGTATAGGCAGGTGGATCTCTGTTTGAGGCCAGCCTGGTCTACATAATGAGTTCCAGGACAGCCAGGGCTACACAGTGAGACCTGGGGGAGAGGGGACATTTGAGGCTGGTTAGATGGGTCATTGGCTAAAAGCATGTACTGCTCTTCCAGAGTGTTAGAGATAAGAATGGAGCTGGGTGTGGCAGCTCAGTTTTTAGTAACTCCAGCACTAGAGGATCTGACGCCTTCTGACAACCATGGGCATCTGGAACACATGTGACACACACAACACTTAAACACACATGAATAAAAATAAAATAAAATCCTGAAAAAAATTATGACAGTGTCTCACTGTATCACTGGTTGGCTAATGAAAAAAATTCACACACGCACGCACGCACGCACGCACGCACACGGTCTGAGCATTTGAGACTAGTGGTAGCACATGGCACTGGGAGGTAGAGGCAGGAGAGGTCAGCATGATCAGCCCAGCTATGACTGTGGCCGTAAATACTGCTGGAAGTCAGTTTCTGTCTTCCCCAGGATTTGCTATCCCTTTGTTGAAGGCTCAGTTTGCCATTTGTTAAACGTTACCAAAGTATTTGTTTCCAAAATTCTACTACCTGTGTGCTAGCAATCTGCCTCCAGAGTGCACTTTGTATTTAGTTATTATTTTTCACAGGTTTCTTTGAATGTCAAGAGTTAAAATCAAGGTTGAAAAAGGCTACCTGTGAGGGGATTTATGGATGGCTGAATTAGGGGCCTTCTTTTAAGACAGCTAGCCTTTGTCCTTCTGCTGAATCCTGCCTAGAGAGAAGTCAGGGTTCAAGATGAGAGCCTTCTCAGATGTTTTCTGAAAGTGTCTTTCAACATGCCTTGATATACCTGTGTGCTTTTGAAGACCTCAGTTCCTAAGAGAGAATATGTTTTAAAATTTGCCTTTTGTGTCAACTTTATAGTTTGTATATATTCTTGAACTATTTTAGATAATATCCCACTATTGTTAACATGACTCTGCCGATGGGCGGTGGTGGCTCACGCCTTTAGTCCCAGCACTCAGGAAGCAGAGGCAGGCGGATCTCTGTGAGTTCAATACCAGCCTGGTCACAGCCTCCAAAGCCACAGAGAAACCCTGTCTTGGAGAAACAACAACAACAAAAACCAAGACTCTGCCAGTTTGCTAAACAGCTGTTATTCCTTGTCAGTTTAGAAAAAAAAATTAGTTGACTACAAAAAAGCCTGTGAGATTGATGGGATTTTTATAGAAGTGTAATGAAGAAGGAGTGAATGTTAGTGGCCCTGCACCTCTGCCAGTCTCCCTTCCTCCCAGATATGGACATGCCACTGTTTGACATAGTCTGGCCCAGATTTCTGAAGTCAGGTGATCTTTCCTGAATCAGCTACAGGGTTTCTCTTTGTAGTTCTGACTGTCCTGGAACTCACTCTGTAGACCAGGCTGGTTTTGAACTCACAGAGATCCACCTGCCTCTGCCTCCCAAGTGCTGGTATTAAAGGCATGTGCCACCAACGCCCAGCTATTTATTTATTCATTCTTTGGATTTATTTGCTTTTTTATATATATGCATGAGTGTTTTGCCTACATGTACATATGTTCTTCATGTAAGTGCTTCCTGCCTGCAGAGAGCAGTAAGAAGAGGTGTTGGATCCTTGGAACTGGAGTCACAGATGGTTGTGAGCTGCCACGTGGGTCCTGGAAATGGAACCTGGGTCCTTTATAAGAGCAACAAGTGCTCTTAAGCTCTGAGCTCTCTCTCCAGTACCTATTTATTTATTTTGAGGCTGCTCTCTATCCTTGCTGTCCTGACACTTCCTATGTGGACTAGGCTGGCCTCCAACTTACAGAGATCTGCCAGTTTTTCCTCTTTAAATATTGATCATGTAGTATTTGCTTTACTTGATTTGTGATACAGGGGAAATTGGTGTCCCCTTTGGGGGTTCTTTGTCTTATTAATAAAAGAATTTCAGAATGCACAAGGACAATTTTATCAGTGTTTAGAAGAGCAGCTATGCAGGGCAGGTGAGCTGCCTGGAGGAGAAGGGAGGAAGTCATGCCCTTGAAGCTGCTGGCATGGAGGTAAATGCATCGCTAACCAGCGGTTATGGTGATGGGGAAGCTTTAGAGAAGGAGTTAAGAAAACAAAAGGTTGAGGGGGCAGAGTTAAAGTATGCTTGGAAAAGAGATAGAAAGGAGGGGAAAATTGAGAAAACCAGGCAGACTTAGGGCTAGGGATTCTGGGAAGGGAAAGAAAGTAACTCATTGAAGAACTGATGATGACCCCTGTCTCTTTAGTATGGTTTATGGTGAGCCTGCTTTTCTAGGGATGGTCCCTTAGCCAGAGTGACCGAATCAGCCATGCTGGAATGTTATTAGGTCTCAACCCAGTCCTGAATGATCTGGGGCTTTTTCTACCCAACATTTGGACTGGAGCAAGTTGTACTTGGGAGTTCTTTTCTTTTTTTTTGAACGTTTCCAAACTCTTGTGGTTTGTTTATTTTAGTGGTTAAGAGATTTCTAGTCAAGCAATCTTTTTTTTTTCTTTAAAGATTTTATTTATTTATTATGTATATAGTCTTCTGCCCACATGCCAGCAGAAAGCACCAGATCTTGTTGAAGGTGGTTGTGAGCCACCATGTGGTTGCCGGGAATTGAACTCAGGACCTCTGGAAGAACAGTGAGTGCTCTTAACCGCTGAGCCATCTTTCCAGCCCTGTACTCAGGAATTCTAATGATTTCTTTTCCTGTTAGCACATAAGATGGTTCATTTCCCCATTTAAGTGGTGACAGAGTGTTCACCAGGGAAGCTGCTCACACACATTGTCCATTATCTTGGGAATGTGTCTGATGGCTCTAGGTTTTTCTGAGTTTGTAACAGATGAGTTCACTTTCAGAAGGAAAATGGTTCTGAATTGCCACAGTATTTTTATGACGCATTATGCTGAGTGATTTATTCTCATTCTTTGTGCTTATTCATGAGCCTCCCCATCTTGTTCTCCCCACCCAACAGAGCTTAAACTCTGTCCACATAGATGTCTAGAGACAGATGGCTCTATTCTGGGTACAGGTGGCGGGACTTTCTGTGAGTGAGACTTGGGTGGAGTTGCAGTGTATCCTGACTCCAGGCCACTCAGTGAGAGGACTGTTGTTCACCTGGATGTTCCTGCTCACAGTTGTTCAGGATTTACATTAGACCTCCCCAGTCATGAAGGACATGTGTGGAGACTGCAGAAATACGTGAGCATTTTATCACTTGAGCATATATTTGCAGTACTGCCAGTTTTATAAATTAATTGTATGTATATCAGTGTTTTGCATGCATGTTTGTCTTTATGAGGGTGTCAGATCCTGGAGTTGTAGGCACTTGTGAGTTGCCATGTGGGTCCTGAGACTTGAACTGTGGTCCTCTGGAAGAGCAGCAGTCAGCACCCTTAACTACTGAACTGTCTTCCCCCCACCCAGCCCACGTCAGTTCTTTTATACACATGTGTGGGATATTTTAGGATCTGGTGAGCTTTGAGGATGTGGCTGTGCACTTCACCCAGGAAGAGTGGACTTTGCTGGATCCTTCCCAGAAGAGTCTGTACAGAGATGTGATGCTGGAAACCTGCAGGAACCTCGCTGCCATAGGTGAGGACATCGTCTTCCCATCACTCTGTAAATTAGAGAGCAAGTGTTTCCCTGTTAGAAATGGTCTTCTGTGATTTGGGTGTAGAAAGGGATGAATTTGGTGGATAAGTGAATAATAGTAGCAGATGAGATGGTCCAAGAAGTTAAAGGTCCTCATTCTGCAAGCCTGGTGGAACCACCTGGTGGGAAGGTCGAACAGCTCCCGAAGTTACCCTCTCATCTATATGTGTGCTCT